ACAAAAAAAAACCAAACTATATTCGCATTGAAATGGGACAAAAGTGGCTAGTAAATTTTTGTCCGTGTAACTTTATGTGCCCGGCGAATACATTGTGATAACTAGCTTTCTTCTGGGAGAAACTATCACCGAACTAAACACATTTATAATATGTAATTACCTCGCATTTAATTCACTCGCTTCGGAGGAGGTCATAAAAGTCGCAATGCGCTTGGCTATCGCTTGCCAGTCGCAGTCGTATATTTATATAGCCCCATGCCGTTCTGCGTTCTTCGTTATACGTAGCCAGTTTCCAGTTTGCAGTTTGCAGATCTCTGGTGCTTGCCGTGCATTTTGGCAGATTTATGGCCGTCCGGCATTAACCGCCGCAGATGCCAGCTGCAGTTTCCTTTGCCGCTTTTTCGGCTCTTAATTAAGTTGCATTTCGAGTCCCGCCACGTGGCCACGTGGAGCGGCGGCAAAGGACGAGGGATGCAGGATGCAGGGGAGGATAATGGCGGTGCTCTCTCTCTCTGATAATAAAAGCACATGTTGACATCTGCCCACAGTGTCAGTCGGCCATTATGCACCTATTCGCCCCATTTTGGTGGCATGTAGGGGGGAATCCTTTAGTGCCGCTTGAGCTTTTTACACATTTTCGTTTATGGCTGCTGCCATTTCGCCATCTCGTTTCGCTCCACATCCAGGACGTGCTGTCAAGGCCCTGCCTATTAGTCCTTGGCCGAAAGGAGCTCTTGCTGTAACTACAATTCTCGCTCTGTTCCGCAAAATTGGAATGCCATAAAAATACGTATACTTGCTTATTTAAAAATCATCTCAGAGAACTGTGAAGTCGAAAAAAGGGGCAGCTTATTTCTGCTGTCACTGCTGCTGCTTGGGATTCTTCTTCTGCTTGTGCTACCGACTTGTGTGTTCCATTCCAGCCTTGGATCCTTTTCCCTTTTCGCAATGGCGCCCTTTCATATCTGGTGTTTGTCTGCGTCGACTTCCGTTTCCGGTTGCACGCTCGCCATTGTTTCACTCTTTTTTATGACTTCTGGCGCACATGATTCTGATTCTGATTCTGATTCTGCTTCTGCTTCGGCCTTTTGATGAATTTTTATTAAAAGCAAATGGCCAATGCACCAAAATGGAAATTCAAATCAAAACGAAATGGGCAGAATGCTGTTGAATGAAAATGTCCATTCAATTTCTGGCCCATGCACCCGTTACGAATGCGAAAATTCCGAAAAGCTGAGGTGTGCCTTGTACGGTTTCTATTTGCAGCAGGCAATTCCGAAAAGTTCCTGATTTAATCAAAAAAACTTAAATTCGTTGGTCGCAAATGAATGGCTATACTACGGACTTCTATTTATTTCTTTGTTTTTCGAATGCGCAACCTTTGACCTTCTCGGACCTTTTGTTACTCTGTCTCCAGTCAGTTGGAAGTTTGTTTGTTTCCGCCCAAGGCAATGAACTGCGAACAGAAATCGGGGATTGGGGTTGACTTCCCGCCCCGTCTTGGACCTTTACCAAATAGAAAATTTCAGCGATTTAAGCGGGTTGCGACACAATTAACCCCTTGAAATCGCTGACAGTTGCCTGGCAGCCGAATGCTTTGGTAATTCAGCCCGTGGGCATCATTTGCACTACCACAGCGATAAGGATGACCGGTGGGTGGGCGTGGGTGGCGACCTTGAGTGGGTTTTTGAGCCCTTGCGGGGCGCACTGACAACGGCTGGAAGCCATTTGATTTAATCATCGACGCGTAGGCCACGACAACGAGTCGCAATGAATAATTCATTGGCGCCTAACAACTTAAATTGCCTTGGCCGTAACTCTTTCTTGAAAATGTCTGCGGATTCTACGGCCCTTTCAAGTAAATCTCCGCATTTTAATTAACTTATCAAATCTGTTATCCCTATTATAAATTGGCTATGATTGGGGTTGAGATATGGAGTGGATTTTAAATAAATTCTGGGGAAATTTATAATTCAAACTGATTTTCTAACAAAAAAAATAGAGAAAAAATCTCGTGTATTTAAATATATTTTTAATTTTTTTCCAAATTATTAAACTATTTTATTTTATTTAGTAAAATAAATTGATTAAGAATTTAATGAATACTTAATTGAATAAGATATAAATTAAACCAAATAAAAACAAATATCTAGAAATAATACTTTTAGTAACCTAAAAACCAAACAGTTGGCCTTAAAAAAACGATGAGAACTCAGGAATGCAGCAATTAAATTAACCTCCTCTCTACAACCACCGTTTCCTTTGCCATTTGGCTCTGTTTCGTGTTTTAGCCAAGCGCGGAGTCATAAGCCAAGAGCAAACATTTGCGACATTAGCGACGAACATTTTTACCAGCTCATGCAGCTGAAACCGAAACAGAAATGGCTCTGCGATGATACATTGCCGACAGCAATGCAATTAAGCATGCCACCGACAGGACACCCATAAACTCCACTTCCTACACTCCACTTCCTACACTCCACTTCCTACACTCCACTTCCTACACTCCACTCCCTCCACTGGAATCGCAAAATCACCTGAATCACCTGGCGTACTCCACCTGCACTTAGCTCCCCTTAACCGAATCGAGCTGGGCCGAGAGCATCATGTAATAAACAATGGAAAATAGCGTTCGAGTTGACAGCGGAACACTGAGACGGTAATTGCATGTAAACATCGTTTGCGAGGAAGGTGCACTTGCCAGCGGCGATGGCATAATTAGTGAGTGGGTGGGTGATTAAATCCGACTATTGGGTGGTTGATGGTTGGTGGTTTCATCGACCTTCATCTCGCATCGAGTGTCCCCTTCAGATAAAGACTTTGTCTGCCATCCACTTCACTTAGCTAAGCGAGCAATCGAAACCCGTCCATCAATCAAACAATTGCCTTTTGGCTGCCAAGTCAAAAGTCTTGAGTCCATTCACCAGGCATCAATGCCAGGATCTGTTAAGTCCGCTTTCCACAATGGATGGATGATATGGCTGTCAACAAATAAAGCAAACTTAGACTGAAATCACCCCCTGATTTGGCCAAACGTCAATCAAGTAGGAGGTGCCACTAAAAGTTTCAAAACAATATGAAGTTGCATTTTCAGTTAGATTATATTGATTAGTAATGGTTAATAACATATTAAGAACTTTGGATTTGGATTTGGATTAAGAACTTAAATTGCTTTTAGAGCATGTTTCTTTTAAAGTGAACATTTTTAATGTATAAATTTAAATTAATTTTATGGGAGATCTCAATATAGAATGATATTTGACGTATTTGAAATAAATATTTGAAATAAAAGTATTTCAAAATTGGCCATTTGGCCATTTGTTCAAAACATTTTTAGTCAATTTAGTGTTTATCTAATTAAAAGTTTCTTTGGTGATAAATATTATTATTTTGCAATCTTCTTGGTATAATAATTTAATACAAATAATATACCATATGAAAACCCCACATAATAGCCCAAAACATTTTGTGAGAGGCTGCGTTAAAGTTTTGTCTCAATTGCAGCTGCCACCGCATAATATTGCCGGGGATTCCCGCAAGCCAGCTTCAAACTCGCATGGGAAGCCAGCGATTTTAGCAATTTGCCACTGAATTCACGAGGGGCTTGTGGCATCCGGAGATGGAAATGAAAATGGAAACGGAGACGGAGACGAGTGCCTGAAGTCCCAGAGCTGAAAAGTTGTCCTGTGGGCGTTGCCGGTTTCAAAAGCAGGCCCGTAAACAACGATTGTGCTTATGTTTATGAGCGTTTATTTACGACTCGAAATTTGAATAATTTACGATGGCGTCGACGGCGCACCAAGAATGCATTGCGAGTGCAACAGCGAAACAGCAAGGGGATATCCCTTTTGGTGGAAGCCACAAGGATACGCGCTTAACTAAAACCAAACAGGACATGCTACATTGAATTTGCTGGAATTTGCTGAAAAAGAGCAATTCAAGTGTTGCGGTCAACAGAGTTTTTGCATAGCTCCCGAAAATTCAGCCAAATGGAGCAGATTGTGCCGCGTGCGGCGGAAACAGCGGCTGTGAAAGCCGCGAACGCAACCGGAAACACAAAATGCCACCATCGACCGGAAGGTAAATTATTGCAATTGGACTGGCAGACATTTTCATTTCCATAACCGTGAAATGGTCGCATTTACCCACCGCAGCTGCTGGGACAAAAGGTGCTCATGCTATGTACCGAAAGGGATCAGGCCAGGGATTTGCCATTTTCGCACGGAAATTCACTATTATTCGGACTTTGGAAACCGGAAAACCACGTTGATGGCCGCACTTGAACGTGGTTGAAATGCAATTCAAACTACTGCAACTGAATTAAATGAAATGTGCTTTGGTTCATTAATTGAGGCTGGAAGTCAACAGCGATATTTATTTAATTAACTGTAATTGGGATCTTAAATATTAAATATATTCATATTTAATTGTTTTTTTTTTTAGATAGGTATGTTAGATACATATTTTATAAACAATATTTTGAATTCGAGACATATCTTATCAGGAGTCAAGCTTTAATCATTTCACATTTTTAATTAAATTAAATAGATAATGCTTAAGGCATTACAGATAAAAAGTAATGCAAGTCATTGTCTTATAAAACTTTGCACTTAAGTTAATCATCAGAAAAAGTAAATGCTCTTTGGGAACCCCTCCATTAGAAATATAACAATAATTAATATAATAACTTAAAGTCCTTATACAACATTTGAATATAACTTAGTTCAAATAAAATATAATTTTCATTATATTAACAATAACATATACAATACTTTGAGAACGCTTCCATAAAAACATTACAATAAGCATTATAATAACTTTATTTATTAAAGTATTCCAAATGTGCCTTAAATTTGAAATACCACATCTAAATGTAGTTTATTTCTACAAATAATAGATTATTAGATTAAATAAAGTTGTCATAATCAACCACATAAAAAAAATATATGTGAATTATACATTCCAATGATTTAAATACTCAATTAATAAAACCCAACACATAAACTAACAAAAAATGTACACTTTAATTATCACGCGCAACAAAGACTTAGGTTTTTCTTTACATTATTCTTTAAAATAGATTTCGTATTTAGTCCTATTTGGTGGTTTCCTCGAAGACCTCACGCGCCAAGCTCCGCATGACCTTGCCATTGGCGTTCTTGGGGAAGTGATCGACGAAGATGACTCCTGCATTCAGCTGCTTGTAGTCCACCACCACGCGCTGGGCCACATGGTCGATGATCTGCTGTCCGGTGATCTCGGCGCCCTCTTTCTTGATGATCAAGGCTCCGGCGGCATCGCCATACCTCTCATCGCGAACTCCCACCACGCAGACGTGCTCCACCTCCGGCAGTTCGGCGATGATCTGCTCGATCTCGTTGGGCCAATAGTGCTTGGACTTGTACTTCAAGAGGTCCTTCTTGCGGTCCACCAGATACAGGTTGTTGTCCTCGTCGAAGTAGCCCAGATCGCCCAGATTGATCCAGCCATTCTGGATGGTGGCCAACGTGTCCTCTGGGTTGGCCAGATATCCCTCCCACTTCAGCCCAATGTCGATGACCACCTCGCCCGTCTGGTTCACGCCCAGCTGCTGGCCATCCTCGCCGATGATCTTGATCCTCATTCCGGGCGCCACTCTGCCCACCGAGCACTCCAAACTATGGTCGATGTTGATGGTCACCACGCCGGTTTCCGTCGTTCCGTACGAGAACATGATGTAGGTCCGGGGCATTAGTTCCTGGGCTCTGCGCAGCAGGGCCAACGATATCCAGCCCCCGATCACGAAGGACATCTTCAAGGTCTCCAGCTTCTCCGGAGTGGCCAGTGGACTGGTGTACAGCTCGTAGGCCTGCCAAGGAGCCATAGCCAGACAGTTGACTTTGTACTTCTGGAGCAGGTACAGGGCTGTCTCGGCACTGAAGGTCTTGTTGGAAATGATGCGGGTGAAGCCCCAAGTGAGATTCATTACGGTTATCGAGAATCCGGTCATCCAGTCAATGGTGGCACTGGTGTACACCACATCAGTACTGATGCACAGCCTGCAGGTGGAGATGTTTTGGGTTAGATAGGCAAGCCCCCTTTGGATTCATTGAAACTCACGAGTTGGTGGACGCAATGTGGCGGTGCGAGAGGGCCACTGCCTTGGGCAGACCAGCTGTGCCCGAGGAGCACAGCACCACGGCGGTTTGGTCACCACCTGTGGCCAAGGCTGCGGGTCTGCAATAGGTAGAAATTGTAAATTATTATCAAAAACAATTACGTACTAAGCCTTTTCCTCAAAACACTCGATTCTAAGGGTAACAATTTTAAAAATGGATTAAAAAAGAACATATGCTTCCTGATTAATGTTCTTGGCCAAGAAATTATTTAATACGAACCACTTTACGATGAAAACATCTTTACAAAATGGTCTACTTTAAAAAAGGATATTAAAACGAATTCTGACTTATTCATAAGTAATTATAATGTAGGCATAATAAAGGCCTTAAAAACATCTAATAAAATATATATATATTTAGACATCCTTAATGTGTAAAATGGATTGTACTATCATAGTAATATTGTATAAAAAAAAAAAATAAATAAAATTAAAATGGTTTTTTTGGTTTGTCGTGATTGGCTCAGTAAGCTAACAAAACAATCTCTTCCAAGGCAATGCGTCTTAAAGCTAACATTTTTGAGCAAATTATTACTCCAAAAATATATTTTATTTTTTGAGCACTTTGTTGTTGGTCAAGAAATAATTGTTGAATTGTGCTTTTTATTACACATAGATTACTCACACATAGATCTTCTCGGCGGGATGGGGATTCACCAGATCCTCGATGCTCGTCACGCCCTCCACTTTTCCGGTGAGCGTTATCAGCTTGGGGGACCACTCCTTGGTGACCTCCTTGATGCGCTCGTAGTCGGGGGCATCGATGAACATGATCTTGGGCTTTGTGACCGAGTAGAGCCCCTTGATGATGGCCGGCTCCCGCGAATAGTTGACGGCGTGGAAGGGCGTGGCTTGGAAGAAGCAGGCGGTGGCCACGGGGATCACGAAGGTGCTGGAGTTGGCAATGATCCCGACGTGGTCATCCTGGGTCAGACCCTCGCTCTTGAAGAACAAGGCAATGCGGGTGGCATAGGCCAGCATGTCGGCGTTGGTCAGAACGGTGCCGTCGTCGTCGGTGATCTACTTTTATATAATCGAGCTCATCAGACTCCGAACTCCAAACACATCCTCCTGGTGGTGGTCACTCAATCGTTTACCTGAATCACATTGGTGGGCCAGCAGCGCAGCGAGTTGAAGACAATCTGACCGATCGATGCATTGTGGTCGTACATCGTGGCCCTTGGCGGGCCACTCCAGATCTTGGTCTCCTTGTTGTAGAAGGTGGGGAATACTGCCTTTGTCGGCATTTTGCTAGTCCAGTTTTAATTCGCAACTGAGTGGCCAGAGCCCTTACATTGTCTTTTATATCGCGTTGATGGCCCGCTTATCATATCAATTAAGCACCACCAATCGGCACACGCGTGGAGTCCAAAGTTTGGCCGAAATAAGTAGAAGATTTATGGTAACATCAGCTGATTTTTGTTGTGGGCTCGTCTAATCTATTTTGAGCCAATTATTCAATTTTCATTTCCGCCCATAAGCGGGAGTGACTTCCGCATATGAAGTGCCATGGCAACGGCGTGTGCCAGGTATCCCTTCTATAGTCGGTGAATAAGTGACTAAGTAAGTTTTATCTAAAATATTCATATCATTTCGAAATGATATCCCAAAAAAAATTAATATGCGAGTTGATAAAGCTCTTATAGGTGTTTGCTAAGATGAAACAGTATAAATGTGGCTCTGGCCTAAGATATTATTTAAAAGATAGGAACTTACGCTAAAGAATTCTACATAAGTAATAGTAAACTGTAAAGGCAAGGGTTAATCATAAGATATGGCATTTGAAATATTTAATTTAAATATTTCTTAGAAATTTAAAAACCTTCCGTAGGTGTATAAAAAAAAGTATAAATGTGGCCTTTGATTAAGATATTATAAAGAAAAACAACTGGCGCAAAATTCTTAGTAATTCCAAAAATAAAAACAATAATTCGATAACTTTTTACGAGTTTTGTGATATTGGTGGGATAACATTAAAGGCAAAGGTTAAATATAAAATATGACTTTCAAGGCATTTTGAAAATAAGTGTGGACATATCTCAGGAATTTATAAGCCTTTCAGTGTAAGTTAAAAAGAAATACTATAAATGTGGCTCAATATTAAGATGTTATTCAAAGTTTATGAACTAAATTTGTAGTAACTTTTTTAATGAAGCTATGGGCTTAACAAATATTGTAAAGTTTTCCGATACTGGTAAGTAAACCTTAAAGGCAAAGTTGAAACATATGATACGGCTTTTAAAGTAACTTTTAGGTGGTATATTTCTCAGAAACAAATTTGTCTGCTCAACCTTAACTTATTTCATATCAGCTTTAACTTTTCCCTGGGCTGCTTTCAAAAGGACTCACTGAAATAGTTCCTTTTAAAATGAACTCAACGCTGGCATTTTATTATGGTTGTAATATTTTTTGGGATGGGTCACGCCCTGTTGCGCTATTTGCATTGTGTGTTGGCGTCCCACAAAACGCGGGTGCCGCCCCCTGCCCCAAAAAGCACCCTGAAGTACACCCTGCATGCATATATTAACATGAAATTACAGACGGCACGGCCAAAGAGCAAGCAAAATAGTTTAAAGTGTTTCTGAATTTGTTTGGCAAAATGAGCAGGGCACGTCGAAAGTGCAGAAGGAAAAGGAAGAGGACCCCGGACAAGATGCTCCCGACGATGTGCATGCAAATAACGACGACTCCGTAACTTAAAGTTTTAAGTCCTATAGGTTCACCATTCAGATTTTCGACCACGACGAGCATATGTTCCGTGTCAACGAATGCCAATCGATTTGATTGGCGGTTTTGGGCGTCCGTTCTGGCGGATTCCCTTTAAAGTGGTTGTTCGAGCGTGACATGAGATGTCAGTTAATAATGCGCATTATAATGAGACGCCCTCAGACAGAGCCCCATGTTCCACACTCCCACCCAGGTGACCACACCGCAAGTTTGTAAGTTTGTCGGGGTAATGAGATGCGCCATTGTAGTGCCAGCTTAATTAATTAACGTCACTTCGAGTGCAAACTGTTACACAATTGAATTGGCAGTCGATGCCTGATAAGGAATTACTATTAATCGACAGCTTATCTCTTTTTGCGTCACCACCGGTTTTTGAATGGAAGTGAATTTATGCTCAGTTCTGCGATAGCTGAGCATATCTGTCAGGATAGCTAATAAAAGATAGCTTAAGTGTAAAATATTGCATAATTGTGTCGGCTGACTATGCTTGGTGTGAAATAATATTTTGCCAAAAGTTATCTTCCCACTTCACTGCTTATGAATAAACTTAACTTTTCCTTGAAAAGGGTAAATACTTTAAATGATAAGCTTACATTGAATCTAATTGGATTGACTGATAACTAAATGCAAGGGAGACGATTATCAGTTTTTACACTGACTACCATACATTTTTACCCATCTTAAGTTGAAAAAAAAATTAAAAATATTTTTCCTATTTAAATATATCAAAATCTTAAGCTTATCCCAATTTTTTAAATGATTAAAATTAAAAAGTTAATTTTTTATTTAAATTAAGAAGGGACTACAAATTGTTTTGATTTATGAGAATTTACTTAAAGAGTACTTTTAAATTTTACAAAATATTACATTAAATTAACACGATTTTCCTACTTATGTATTAAAATATCTTGTTACATTGACTTTATCTATATTATATTATATTTCCTAATAAAGTCTATTTACCAAAGTCCCATTACATAACATTAAACTTGTTTGATTTATTTATTTTTTTGTTAAGACAAGAATTTAAGTTCTTATTTGACTAGAATAAGTAAGATAAACAAAAATCTGGTATTTCTATGCTCCAACTTATTTCTTAGTTAAGGACCTTTAAGTCCTTTCTTTGTATAGAAATATGAAAAACATAATAAAAAAATGTTAAGCCAATGCCCTGGATATATTTTCTATATATATATTAATTGGATTAAGCTATGTAGCAATTATTTCATCTTTAGTAATCAAAAGTGACTTCAACTTTTTTTGTCAACGGTCTGCGGTCATCGTCCCTGACCTTAGACAATCGCCGACCTAGAGCTGTGAAAAAACAGTGGAATTTGCGTTCGGGCGTTATCACGCTTATCACACTTGTTGGTTGGAGGACCGCCGCCACGTGTTTTCGATGTATTTCGGCCAGGCGCAACTGTCATAAATCTTGCATACGCCCTGTGGGCATGCGCGAAACGGGTTTCGTTTGCCAAACGTTCCACAAACATCGCCCCATTCATAAAAGGCGACGATGTTTCTCGGCCGAGATGGACTCGGCACTAGAGGATGCTGATGCTGCCAACAGTCTGCTGTCTGGGGACTTGGCCAAGCTCAGACAGTTTGCGGTGATTCCTTGGACGAGGCGGTTGCAAGCTCGGCTTACGAGTCGCTCGGAAAATCATCAATAGTTGCCGTGGCCTGGACAGTAAAGGGAAAGTTTAGCCAAGAGTCGGCCAGTCTGCCAGTCTGCCAAGAATTAGCCACCGATAAGCGACTAACATATATATGGCCAAAGAAGTCTATGTCTATGTGGTTAGTAGAAAGTTTCGCTCAAGTGTTGTTAAGTGCTCCAAAGTTGGCCGTGATAGTTAAGTGCGCTCGTAACTGAATCTCGGCCCATTCGGTGTTGCCTCCTCACACGTTGGTATTTTTCGGAAAAGTTTTTCTTGGCCCTTGATGCTCACTTCTCCATTCTAAACTCTATCCCCGGCCTGTCAAAATGTTTTGGCCCGAACTTTTCGTGCAGTAGGCCGCCAACAATTGAAGTTTTGACAACAAAATTTAGTTAAGCAAAGCTGCCGCGGTTTCATATTCTTTTCCGGCTGAACTGCAGAGTGACGAAGGTTGTGCAACAAAAAAAAAAAAGAATTGCCCTGCACTTTTTGCAGACTTTCGATCCGTGTTTGGTTAACTACGTGAAACTCCATCAAAGCGAACAGATTGAACGTGTGATGTGAATGGTAAGTGCAGTAGTTGTTTTTCATTTTTTGCGTCTGTGCATTCTTTTTCCTGCCAATCGTTGAACTTTACTTGAGACCTTTTCCAGGAAAATATTTGTTTTTTTTTTCTCCTCAATTGGTTGGCATTGTGTGGTAAAAATTACAAAAATTCAATTAAAAAAAGCTTCTGCCTTCTTTCAATTAAATGTGTCAACACTGCGTATGAGTGATAATTAAAACCATAACAGTTCTTCTTTTGTTTATACAATGATGTGCCACTTTAAAGATGAGCTGTTTCTGAAAACAAAATTAATAAAAATTAAAATAAATTGAAAATGTTTTACAATACATTTTGTTTCCATCTGGGGACATGTCAATCATAACTACCCGTCCTATGTGTCTCTCTAGAAACCAATTAGCCATTCGTATTCGGCTTCCAAATTTCTAAAAGGTTCTTTGAGGTCCTTTGCATATGTTGCTACTTCTGGTAATTGCTACTTTATTGTTTCTCCGTGTCCCATAATGAAATGGACAAAAGGAGCCCAGGAATCCCAGAGGGTCAGAAACAGGGCGCATAAATATGTTCCCAGTTTGGGGCAAGAACCCATAACAATGTCCACCGAGGAGGGCCGGAATTTGTGCGTGTCGCATCTATAATTAAGTGAATATAGAGCATGCTGGGCCCACAAGGAGGTATTTCATGCCCACACATATTTTGCCCAGAACATTTGGATCACACAAATGGAATATGTCGTTTGGGGCGCTGGAGAATGGGTTCGGTTATCTGGGAGTGTGTGTTGGCCAAAACGCTTGAGAATTCCATTCCGCTTGAGAGGATTGACTGCAAATCTTTTGCATGGCGCTAAAATATTTCCAAATATGCTGTAGACCACGTACCAATATGTTGGTTTCCTAACCATATTGAAATATTTTGCAAAGTTATTGATTTTATTTTGTTGAAATTAAATCTTTGTTAAAGGTTGGAACAAAGTTTTTTTCTTCCGATAGTTTTCAAAGTGTACTGTAGCAAATTTATGAACTTAAAAAGCTGATAAAATCAACAAATAGATTTGCCTTAAAAACTTTTAATTTTTTCTAATTCTTTCGACTGAAAGCTAAAAGAGTTTATTTTCACTACTCTTTTTTTTCTTTCTCTTATTGTACTCAACATCGAGTTCATAAAGTTTCTCCATTTCACCTCCTTAAATCCGTTGATTGTGCTTCATACTTGGCCGTCTGGAATTTCTGAGCACTTGTATTGCCAATAAGGACATTTCTCAACGAGTCTGCAAAACATCAAAGGCACCGCACGCACAAGCAAACATGAGGTATCGGAGGAGCCCCCAGCCATCATAACTACAGACAGCCAACACAATACAACACATGGCCAAAAGCAAGCTGGGCAAGTCAATTAAATTAGCCATAATATACGGCAAATGTGTGCCTAGTTACTGTTACAGTCGGCACTCCTCGGTACCGGACTTTACGCTCTGCATCTGGCATTGTCCCTGTTTGCATTTGGCTGCTCATGAGTAATGTGCACACATAATTATGAAAAATACACAAGCCACTCGACTAGAGTACAGTGGAGGCTCGTTAGGTTCAACACCCTGTGATGTCGTTTCATCTGGGTCGAGGTACTCTACTGTTTATTCTGGCAGTTCTGTCCTCAAAACAACAGTATATTTGGCCAAAACATCCAATTCCGCAGGGCAAATAAAATAATTACTGACCGAACACGTTAACACAAATTTTACTGGCAATAAATTTTGCTGCCTCTTTGTAATTTAATTTACAGCTTATGGCCCATTTAACACCAAAGCACTCCATCAAAATAGTTAGTATTAACTGATGATTGCCCATTCATACACAAACTCGCCTCAAGTCAAATGTGCAGTTCAAATGCGGGTTAAATAATAAAAGTTGGTTTACAAACGAACATCAAGTTGCAAGGAGATATGCTGTTCGATTTGCTTTTGATTTGTTTGTCTGGTACATTGAATCTGCATTGAGCAAGTAAACAAGTGACACCTAGAATGTGAGTAAGAACTTGTGGTTTTGGTTAGTAGATAAACAGCAAGACTAAGGTATCGAAATTATAACATAGGTTAAATGAATTGATGACAAACCAATTTCCAAACAGACAGCATAAAAGTTGATCACTTTGCATTTTATTGAAATAAGTCTACCCCCTTGAAATGCTGGTTGTCTAGTAACTTGAACCCGAGGTCAACTGAGCCATTTGTAAATCTCCGTAAGCTATTGGAGCATTTGAAGATCTGCCAGTGATAATTCCGTTCAAGTAGCTCGGCCCTGTGAAGTACCAAAATATGGGGGACCAGGACAAAGAAAGTAACAAAACACTTACATAAAGAACAAAATCTGTGATAAATCCACAAAAACCGAAAAGGAAAAAAAAACAAGGAAAATATACGAATGAGAGCATGAAAATTATGGGCAGCAATAATTTTGCCAGCTTTGTTGCTTCGCCATTTCTGTGGCCTAGACAACGACACACCCATACTCCCACACTCCCACACACCCACACTCGCACACACCCACAGAGACACAAGGCTGGGGCTTAAATAAATAAAATAAATCAAAAATGTAAATCAACACTCAAATGTATATCTATATGTGTATGCGGCTGGGATAATAATTTGCACACATAAACGGGGAGGGGATAGGAGATCTGGATCTGAAATCTGGATAGTTGTATACTATATAACATATATGTGGCGGGGTGCCAGAAACCCTACTCTCATTAAACCTGAATCAGAATGTGTGTGCATTCGTTCGTTGACTTTGGCATTCCTTGTGTGTGGTTTGTCATTTGGTGTCGGTCTGTAATGAAAGAAATCATGACAAAGCATTCACTTATGGCCCAAGGAATTGTTTGGATTTCGAGTGTCAAAGAAAATATTAAATTATCCCAGGGCACACAAAAGCTTCTAACGAAGCATTTATATTTTGTTTTATGGATTTGTGTTGCCTTCGTTTGCCTGCCGGTATTGAGTAATAAAATCATTTATGAGAAATTCATGAAAAATTCATGACTGTTCGACAACAAATGGCTGCGCCGAACTTTTAAATGTAATTGAGGACCGAACGAAAAAACGTATGCTGCTGAAATATTTAAGATTATTTACTTTAAAAAGTGTCCATGGCAACTATTAGCTGTCTGCGGATTTCAGTCTGCAGACTTCAATTAAAATGCTGTCTTGGTTCCTGTCTGCAGGCGGACATTGAGCACCCTTTGACGAGACTTAAATGGATTGTCAGCCAGGCGTGTGCTCTGGCGTCTTCATTATAGAACTCCGAGTTTTCCCAGCACTTTGTGTAATTCCGTTCATCATTTTGCCTGTGCAGGCCCGCAGCAGTGTCCACCTCCTTCTCCATTTCATTTGGCTAACTGAAACGTGACACAGAGTCGGCTTTCAGGAAGATCTGGGACTGTGTCCAGACCCTTGTTACGGATCCAGAGTGGACCCGCCGCCTCTGCGTATAGCTGCTTATAATTCCGGCTGGAATCCACTTCATTTTTATCAGCTTCATCACGGCATCTTGCATTTTTGAAATGAAATTGTCGTCCCATTTCTTTGCCTGCTTTTCACTCATCAGCGCCATCAGTGCCATCAGCATCTTTAATTCCATTGCTCCTCCGTTTTTTCCACCTTTTCTGGCGGCGGGCTGTCATTCAATTTGACGCCACATTAATTCACTTCGTTTTGCTCCTTTTTTGGCCAGCCGGATATTTGCATTCGTTCTTCTTTTAATTGCTTCGTTATGCGACGTGCTTGTATTTGCGCGCGGTCCACTCGGCGTATACGCATTTAAAAGCTCTCAGGGGAGCCGAAATTAAAGTTTGACATCCCACAGGTAATTGGTACATAATCAGCTAAAGCTCAAGCACTCCCATTTCGCGAAATATTGTTGCTCTTTGATTAAGTTTAGGCCCCTATCTACACTAAGACAAAAATATTCAAACTTTAAAATATATATAATTAAAAAAAAGAGATTATATTTGGTTTTTTAAGCCGTTTGTGACACACCAAACATAAAAACATTTAAAACGAATCTAGGTAATTGTGTTTCCTAAAGTTGTAGTTTTTTTACTTTTAAAAATAAGAAGCATACTTTGAGGCAAAATGTTCAGCTATAGTAAATACGTTGAGTTACGGAGTAAACTTTAAGATTTTCAGATGTTTGAAACGTTGTGTTAATTTGCTTTTTTTAACATATTTATTTGTTATTTCTGGCTAACTATTAATGGACTTTCTGTGTAATATTCCGATAAATAACACTTTAATATTCACTTTGTAGTGGATCTTTCCGGTTCCATTCACCGCCCCATTCATCGGTCAAATTGCGCAGTTTTCGGGCTTGGCCTCTATTGTTTTGGTTGCCGGCGTAGTGCTTGTCGAGTGGTCGATGTTCGGGGATCCGATGTTTTGGGTTCCGCACAGCGAGTCCCGGCTGATGCTTGAATGGCAAACAATAATAAGCGCCTTCTGCATCTTGTTTGTGTGTCCTCCATTCATCCGACTCCCTCCCGAACTCTCAGTTTTTGAATGTATAGTAGGAACACATTCCGGCATACAGATTTAGAGCTCCATTACCATGGGGACAGATGGACACCGCAAAATTCAGCCGAGCAGGTTTGTTTGCCGTCGGGCGCTAGTTAAATTGGGCAGACAAATGCTTTCGATCGCCAGTTCCCTTGTCCCGTGTCGTTTTCAGTTTATCAATGGCTGCAGTTTAAATCCTGCAATTTTAGTCCTTTTTAGGGGCTCCTCTGGGAGCCTTTCAACTGACATGTGCTAATGTTGTTCGAGGTCCAGGGCCAAGGATTCGTTTGGCCAGCACATTTCTAGTTCAGTGTGTATAAAATTGCTTTGCACCGATATAGTTTGACAAATAGAGCCAATGGGAATCTGCTTTCTATAGTAGTTAGTCAGATTCCTTGACCTTACCACTACCAGTAGAATAGTTCATTCTTTTGGCCTGTTTCGGCCTTCGTG